TAATGATAGTAAACTTTAAATTAACACAAACTTCGCTAATTTTTAATATAGAACTTGATTTTTATGACAACAGTGTTCTTAGTCGTAGACCTTAATTAGCAATTGTTCTAGTATTATACGTTGGTAATCTGTATTAAAGATCCTTTTTGCCTTATTTGTATTTATTTACTTCTTAGCCATAACAATAATGATGGCACATGCTCACCAAATCAACGTTAAAACTAGAAAGTAAAAAAGTTGAGATTGTACATTATTACACATATATTATACACTGTTTTCTCCTCTTTTAACAAAATTTCGTATTATTTTTCGAACGATTTATAGTTAGTGGAGTATTATTATTATTATTACGGTACAGACAAGTTGGATAATACATTTATAAGTACAAATATTCTAAGATACTTAGATATTCTGAGTGTTGTTTTTAAATCAAACAATTTGTGTTGTCTAACTATCTATAAATTATGTTTTCGAATTACGTAATAATATTAATTTAACCTATTCCCGTATAAATACCATCGAGTCGCTATAAATGTGTGCATCGAATTTGTTTTTATATTTAGAAATAATTGATTTTCTTAAATGTATTGCATTTTTGTAAATTTTTGTAAAATGTATTTTTCTTACATATATTGTTATATGCATAACATTACGCTTCCCGTTCATCATATAGGTACTTATTTGTATGTTATTTTCGCATCATAACTATCTTAAGTGTACTGAGAACTTTCAGTGTAGTCATTTAATCATTTTAAACGTTATTCAATTGACAAGCGTAATGAGATTAACCTTGTTGAAATCGAATCGACGTTGGGAAAGTGATATTTTGCGAAAACCCTTAACCCGCACAGTTATTTGTCTGCGTTCGTGTGCAACTACGGTACCGATGCCTCGGACGTCACGTTTATGCGGCCGTGTAGTAAGTCGTGTTTTAACTCGCAAGGAAGAGTTACAATGAACCGTGAACTTAATTCTTATTGATGATCCACGCAGATCTAATCCACGCATTTCAGTCACACAAACATCAGCTCGTTTCACATCTCGTTGCTGCGTGTTTCGCACACACCACTGACAGAAACACGCATTCTCTATGTGATATCGGGTATAAAAAAATATTTGAAATAATAATAAAATGTCTACGACGAGAACACGATCCAATATGATATTACGTATCTTACCGACAACCGAACTGCTGTTTATTTCAACCGATTTCGAAACCTTTTGCATTCTCGCAGACCAAACCGGATATAAGACAATTGTAATGCGGACCGGAAGAATAAGGGTCACAATGCAAAACGATACGACTCTCCCGAAAGACTTTTTTTTTTGGGGGGGGGGGGGGGATACGAGTGATGAAATTACACGTATTTATTTTAATATCATTTTTCGTCGACGATAAAATCTCAATGAAACGTAATTGTTATCGAGTCCTACCCACGCACATAATTTGGCTATTACGGTTACGCGATCGATATTATTGTTCCAATAACGGTACGTCCGATAAAACGTTTAAGGTTACAGTCGCACTAATCCCGGCATCGGCCGAATATTTTTCAGACAGCATTTGCTGATTATTCGGAATCAAAATCCGGCCGACGAAAATGATCAAACTACATTCAGATTTCGTTGTATTTACAAAATGACAAAGTTAACACATATTTATTGTCTTGCAGTTCGACACGCAGCATGGACGTCACCGATGAAATTTTCTTGTTAGAAACAAATCCAATAATAAAATATTTATCACTAACTCAAAAAAAAAAGAAAAACAATTTTGGGTTGATAATATTTTTGCGGAAAGAGAAAAATTTGGAGAATTTCACACGCTTTTTCCAAAAATTTTGGTTCAATCAGTTAAATTTTTTGAGTGTATGCGAATGTCTCCTGATACATTTTATTATATTTTATATGAAATTAAACCATTTTTTGAAAAACAATCGAATTTTAGAAAATGCATTACACCTGCGGAAAAATTAACTGTTACATTGAGATAAGTTCTACAAACTAAATAATCTTTTATGAAATCAAATAAAATAAATAATTTAATTTATTTTCAAAAATATTGAAACATTTGAATTTTTTTTTAAATCAAAACTAAAAACTTAGGTATCACTTTTTGTATTTCATAAATTTTTTTTAAAAATATTCTATTGGTTATTTAAATAAATTTGAATTATTTAATTAATTACAAGTCACTAAAAATAAAATCTGTGGCTGACGTTGTGTCCGTTCTCTGTTGTTCAATTGAAAGATACTGTAGATTGTAGTTTTCATTGACATTTGTTGGTGTGGCTGGCTGACTTATAAAATTTGAAGTACATGTGAAGACTTACTAGAGTAACTTACTAGAGTTTTCATAATTATCACGGCGTTCTGTTTCTTCAATAAATACTTGTTACAATTTCATTCTAACTGATAATTTTCTCTATTTCGGTATATCTTTGAGATGTGGTAACAGACTCATTAAAAAATGAAAATCTTCGTCATCCTTATAATTGTCTCTATTTTTAGTATTATCATTAATAGTATCGAAACGTTTAAGTTTTTGTTTTTCAATTTCTATTAAGTCTACTATTGGATTATTTTTAATTTTTTTTCTCTTCGATGCTGTTTGAGAATTTGAATATACAGAAGGTAGATCGGGATGAACTGATTCTTTGAGACTATTATGAATTTGAAGTTATTCTTTGCATATTATATCGTTCGACAAACTGTTTTCAGGTTATGATAGTTCTTCTTCATATAATTTTTTTTAAGTATTACAAACTGTTTGTCGGGGCATTATAGTGTCGCTCAAAAACGACATACTTTTATAAAATTTCTATTGAGATGATATAATGTCAGGTTTCCCATCGTCAGTATTGCGCTTTTGTTTGCTGCATTCTTTTCGAAAAGTATCCCTTAAATTTTGCCATTTAGCTTTTACAGTTTCACCTAAAAATATAATAATGGTAATGCGAAAACAAAAATAATAATAATAACAGTAATGACTAAAAATATAAAATATAATTTTATCATTCGTGACAATTATTTTTAGCTATTTACATAACTAAATATTATGTATAAGTGGGTTTTAAGCTACATTTAACTATTTTAGTAAATCATTTTAAAAAAATTATTATTTAAAACGCCTTCTCCACTTGTAGGTTTCTGTCAACCGGAATGTCATATAGATTATTAGCATTTTCTTTTCGAATGGCTCATAACACAATTGGAGAAATTATTTACGATATGTGCAATATTATTTGGAAATTTTTCGCAAACTTTCATATGCCATTCCCAACAACAGATATGTTTTACAAAATTGCCCAAGATTTTGAGACTCTTTGGAACTTCCACAATTGTATGGGCTGTATTGACGGCAAGCATATTCGAATCAAATGTCCGAAGATCACTGGTTCTATGTTTTTTAATTATAAAAGCTATTTTCGTACATTTACAGTGATGCTAAGTATAAATTAATTTCTATAGATGTTGGAGTATATGGAAGACAAAGCGATAATGACGTTTTTACAGCATGTAATATTTATAAGCATTTAGAGGAAAACACATTTAATATGCCACAAAAAAAACTACTTACTGGCTCAACTTCTTCTATGCCATTTGTACTATTGGGTAACCAAGGATACCCATTAAAAAAATACCTAATGAGACCTTATCCTTTTAATAATAATTTGGACCAAACAAAAGATATTTTTAACTACCGACTAAGTTGCGCAAGACGAATGATCGAATGTACTTTTGGTATTTTGGTATCAAAATGGAGATGCTTAAATCCGAATTACATATTGATCCAAATCATGTTGACACAATTGTTAAGTCTATTTGCTTGATTCATAATATTATTATAAGTCAAGAAGGTGTAGAAAAAGCGTTAATTTAAAAAATAAACGACAAATTAACAAATCCAGATCAAAACGCAAATCATCACACAACAAGACGTAACAATCGTTCAAAACAAGAAGATTTAATATTATTTTAATAATTTCGGTGCAGTCAGTTTTCAGGATATTAGGAAATTAAAAAATTTTGAACTATAATCAGACATGATATATCTATATAATAAATTATATTTAACCCTAACTAAATTATTTACTTTTTACAAATTAAAAATAGCAAAATACAGTATAACTATCATAATATCAAATGTATTATTATAAAAATACAATCATTAATTTACTATTTAGTATTATATATTACATACAAAAATTTATATACGTGACTTCTATATTATATACATACTTTTGATTCCCATTTCTGCTGATATATCATTTCATAACTTTCTACAAACATCCCTATTATGGTAAGATTTTGACTAAACGTTCCATAAAGGCTCTTTTTCGAATACTATATTTATTAATTTTTCACAGTTAACCATTTTGCAAATGTTATGTTATCGAGGTGAATGACATAATGAAAGTGACAAATATACTTCTCGTGTATCATAATATTGTTATGAAATTAAATTAAATTCTACATACGTTATCTTTGTTTTTCGTTTTTATTTTTGTAACCATAATATAGGGGCGTCGGTATAAATAGTATAATAATATAATTTGATTCTGCCAAAAAATACAAAATATTTTGTTTTCATCCGACATCGGCCGTAAACGACCGAATTCCTCGGATGTAATGTGACCGGTGCAATTGAATTTTATACTTTGATTTTTTTCGTCCCTATTCGGCCGTGTTCGGCCGAACGTTAATTCGACCGACGCCGGTTAATAACCTAGTCTAACCGTAGACTAAAAGTATCAGTGTTATCTCATTCCATCAGCGTTGGTTATTTCGTATGATCAACAGACGAGAATAATAAATAATGGTTATTTTTTTCCTTGCACGACTTGAACGAAAAGATTTTGAGAACCGTTGGGTGAACGTGTAAAAGATGAAAAAAATTCTACCATCGCGAACAATGGCGAGAGTGCGTAGTAGTGACGAGGAGAGGGGAAAAAAATCCGGAAACGTATCACCGGGACGAGGGGCGCGCACGCACTGACCTGGAGCATGGGCAGGAAGAAGCACAGGAACCGGCCGAATATCCAGTTCTGGACGAGCAGCACCATCAGCGATATGGGCAGCACGGACACGCACTCGACGACGCCGGTCAGCGCCAGATTGGCCACGTACACGTAGACGGGGTCGGCCGCGTACAGCCGCTTCCGGGCCACGATGACCAGCACGTACGCGTTGCACAGCGCGCCGGCCATGATGAGCGCGCTGTAGCCGCACACGAACGCCGGGTACATGTGCCTCACGGATGGCCGCAGCTGCGGCCGGTTGAAGTCGGTCGTGTCATTCCGGAAGCCTCGCAGATAATCGACGACCACGTCCACCCACTTGTGCGGCAGTTCGTCCAGCTGGTGCGCTGAGTTCAGCTCGACCATGGCCGTGCGAGCACCTGCGAAACACACCGCACAACCGCGTTAGCAACCGCCGTCAACGGGATCGCGCGAGCGTTAGGCGTTAGGCCAACCGCATACAGTGTTTTGGGACAAACGTTGCGAATCGGTTTTGCTTAACGATCAGTTTGAAACCAATACGAAACTTCAGTCCGCACACGGACATGACTGATTTTGGATCGGTTGGTGTTAATCTATTATTCGATGACATCGTTGATTATTGTCAATACCGCAGGCTACGCAGAGTACAACGGAAACATTGGGTTCGTCCGCACATAAGAGAAAATGCGAACTCGAATACGCAGGAAGTTTATAATTATAAAGTTATTCGAGATTCTCCATCTCTCCAACGAACTTTAAGTTTAGTTCTTGGTCACTCGTGTTCACAAAAACACTAAAACAATACACGTGTATGAATACGAAAGTTCGGTGCAACTTAAAATTGCAACGGAAACCGAGTGAGTACAACCGATTTGAAATTGATTGCAAACTAATGTGATTTTGGTCACTTCGTGTGTGGACGCACCAGTTATACGCTGCTTAGGTCACAAATCATTTGCACGTGCAACTGATTTGCAACTTTTGTCCCAAAACAGTTTATCCGTATGCGCTTGGCCTTACTGTTACGTCCTCAGCTCGCCAAACGGTTTCCCGTAAGCTTTTGTCGTGTTGGGCGGTTCGACAATTTTCGAAGAAAAAAAAAATTAAATAACCAAACGGCAAAAACCAACTGCGGATGTAGTCGGAGAACTGTTCGCAAAGCTTCTCGAATGAGTGATGTTACGATTGGGGTCAGTGTTAAAGGAGACGAGAAGGAGGTATATACATTGTCTACGAATAACTTATTTGTACAGTAAGCATTCGTCAACGAATCGAATAAAATTACTATTATAGAGTTTTGTTTTAGAAAGTAGTAGCAAATTTTTATATTTACAACCTCTCCCCCCCCCCAAATAAATATTTTCTAGCGCGGTTTCTGGTTATTGTTTGCTTAAATGATCATTTTTCACACCATATTTTATTTATTTTTTCTTCGTACATTCGGCGATTGTGTTCCGTTTTTATTTTCAAATTTACTTAAAACCAATAAAAGCTAGTAAACTCGTCGGTAATATACATCCGATTAATTTTAACACGAAATAAATCACGAACTTAAAAAGCGCATTCGTCAAAAAAAAAAAAAATCATTGAACTCGTGAATCCGGCCGGTAAAATGTCTTTTCATCGAATCGGTGAAATACCGACCTTGGAAGCGCACGAACTATTAGTTTTAAATACGTGAACGTCAAGTACAAAGTTACATAGTATCATGGATTTTAAAAAATTACGAAATCGACGGCGGTACATGTTTTGCACCATAAAAGCGAATTTTTCACCAACGACACTTTTCGTTTCAGTCGATTACGTTTGCAGATGAAGCATACGAGAATTTCGCTATTATTCTTATTGCCATGATCAAACATGCATACGGCGAATTGTTCTCACTTAAACTGTTGATTGAAAAGTTTCTAAATAGGTCTTGTATTATACAGCCAAAAATGCGTGGGGAACTTTTGATTGTCACTCTTTATTCATAAAATATTTGCTTTTAAAGTCATTAACAGAACTCACCTCCATCCCCTTAAACTGTATAATTTCTAATAATATTTAAAAAAAATAAAATAAAAACAAAAAAATATATGTTGCATTACACATATATAATATAATTATATGGTGTATAGTAGCTGAATTACTCGGCTTCGTACGGAACAGTTTTGGCTAGGATATATATTTTAATGAATTATTACCTTATAGTATTTAAAAAACTAGTATGGTGAGTTACACCAACAGTTATTTAATTTTATAAAATAAAATTAGATTAAAATTTTAAATAAATCGGTTTGATAGTTTTAGTTGTACGCTGAATCACCAGGTATAGCATCATGGAACCATTTTTGCCGATGCTAATATTTTTTAAAATCCCTTTTTATTGTACCATTAAATAATCGAAGAGACCACTGTGTTAAATTTCAAGTTCATACATTTTGTCATTTTTGAGATGTAGTGTAAAAATCCTTTTTAAGTGAAGTATCAATGTCATAAAACAAAACTTCTCATCAAATTTCATTATTATAACTTTAGCATTTCCGGCTAGATGATTTTTTCCATATTTACTTCTTTTCGTTTTCACCTCTATTTACCCATTAAGGGATAAATTTAAGAAAATCCTTTCTTATTACATATTTAGAGTATTTTTGAACCACTATATCAAGTTTAAACTTGACTCAAAATCATAAAAATTTATAAAAATTGCTTTTAAGGCAAAGGAAACCTAATGGTAAGTTAAGTAAATGAACAAAAAAAAAAAAAAATTGTGCCACTAATGGACATAGTAACAAAATTATAACCTTCTCAATATATTTTTCATGGTTATTATCGTTTACAGTTAAGAATATTAATTAATTAGCAAGAAAATAGTTAAACATTAAAAAATGATTTAATAATAACTAATAGTCGTCAAGAGAAAAAAAATAAAAGTAAAAATAAAATACTGATTGTATATTTTCTTGTGCAATTGATTTTACTTATTATGAACTTGAAAGATTCAGACTCAATTTAAAATTCCATTTATATGTAATGTATATAGATGTCTATTTATACTATACATCTATACACAGGGGCGGATCTAAAGGGGTTTAGAAGGTCAGCTGATCCACATTTAATACTTTAGAAAAGTTACACGATGAAATTAATAAAAATAACATAAATAATATTTCAAATGTACAAACCTATTTTAAAAATAATATTATTTATGCATCGTTATAATATTGTTTTCAATCAAACATTTCCTATTCTCCGCAACATATTATCTCGTATAACCAAACACTTGCGGTGACGATAATTTATGAGTAATTGACAATAAATAGTGTAGTTTGAAAATGCTTTTTTACCAGAGTGTTCTATAATATTTAATTTTGACAATCCCAAAATGAGTTGAACATTATTAATTCAATATGAAGTTTAAATCGAATAAATTACAAATTATAGAATGGACGTATATTATAATAATGTGCAGATTCAATTTTACAATTTTAACTCGATTACACAATTCAATAGTTACGTCTTGTTTAACGCTATAACGTATATGTTAAATAATAAGCAATTAAACCATATAATAATATTGATAGTATATTAGCATTCTATTTTAATGATATATGGTGACTGAAATTGAAAATAAGTACCTATCTACGCTACAGAGACGGAAGATGTCTTCCAAACAAAATTTCACGATTAAATACAAAAATTAGAATTTTAGTAAACAATTTTAATTTTTACTGTAAAATCATAATTAATTTTTACAAAATTAATGAAATAAAATGAAATAAATTATCTACATAGTGCTAGAAAATGAATACATTCATTACGTAACATGAACAGTTTGAAACTAATAATTCACAAAACAATGATAATTCGAGTTTTTACAATTCATATTTTATAAGATAAAAACAAACTTAAATTTTTTTTCTGAAATATGGAAGGTCTAAGGCCTCCTCAGCCCCCTTCCAATAAATACACTCATGCTACGCTTTATATTTATTTAATTTTAGATTTTTTTACAATTTGAATAATGCTAATAATAAATTAATCTTAAGTTTGTATAATAATAAATTCATTTTTATCTTAGTACCATTACATTTTAAAATTGGAGTTAAATATAATGATGTGTATATATATTATTATATACATATTATTTATCTAAAAACTAGGAACTGTTTCACATTTTTATAATTTTAGAATAACATTACACCAAATTTTATCAGATGCATTTAATAGGTTCATTTTCATATTTTTTATAATAAATACAAACCCAACATCTATGCATCGTTGTATACATAACATAAATTTAACCTTATATGACAAAACCAGCAACGTTTCTTATGGTGCGTTACAGTAAGCACAACTAAAATAGTAGAGACACATCCACTTCAGAATCTTAAAGTGACTTTCTTTTAAACCTTAAATTAAAATTAATTAGCTGAATTAGTTGAGAAAAATTGGGTACATTTTATTTTAATACATAATTTACTAGGTATTCATATTATTGTCTTTATTAAGATTAGTATATTACCCAAGACTCCAATAATTAGTTCGTCATATTCATGTATGTCTCGGTTATATGGATTACCGTTTTTCTGTGCAAATTAATCAGTTGTATAGTACACACAGATATAACTAATAATTATTTTCGTATTACACTCGACAAAAATGTATAAAAGTAATCAAACATTTAAATCCACTCTTGAATCGATTATTTTATAACCAAATTGTTAATTACGAGAAGATACAAAATATAAAGAAATTATAATGGTTTTATACCGCCCTTTAAGTTTTCAATAATTTAATAATATTTTTCGTCAAATTATTCTTTGACTTATCCATAACAACTTAAACAATTAAATATAACAATACCTTTATATTTATTTCCTCATCTGAACTATGTTATTCAATACAACACATAATCAACTCTAAACGTACAATATTTTTCAAGGTCAGAATTTATTATTTCTGTGGTAATACATTTTATTTTTGCATCTGGCTTTTTTTTTTTAGATCAAACCATTAATAAAAATATTTAAAACTGTTAATTAATGTTAACAGAAGCAAATATTATAACTGTTACTTATTGAATTTTAACATCATAATTTTCAGTTTCGATAAAAAAATAAAATTTCATATAAAACATTAATCGTCTGAATATCTCAACAAATCCTGATAAACATATTGAGAATTGAGAAAAAGCATCATATAATTTTAAAAATATATCTAACTGTGTTAAAAACAAAAATATTCAAATTTTTTAATTTATTTTTTATTAAATTTATTTATTTATTTGATGTTAAAACATAATAATCAAACAAATTTATTTTATTTTACCAAAACTTATATATAATTGCTAAAAAGTACTTTTTTCGTTTTTGATCATGATATCAAAATAAAATCAATTACAATTTCAATTTTA